GAATCAAGAAGACAGAATGCTATAAAGGCAGGAATAGTACTGGTAGTTAAGACCAGATTCAATGTTTGATAATGTCCTCAGGATGATCCAGCTTCTCCACAAAAGGAGTCTTCTCCTCTGTCATTTGATTATGAGAAACAGAGTCACAGAGACAGAAGGTGACTTGCTCAGTCTTGCACAACTCTGGCAAAGCCTGGAGTAGAGGGGAAGTCCCAACACAAGTACCAAAAGAAGTCCCAACACAAGTATCAAAGTGAGGTTGTTATCAGTTCTACCCCAAGGTGACATGCACCTGTGTGAAGACTGTCACGTCTATGGCAGGAAGGAGGACATGAGCAAGGTTTAAAAGATGAGAAAGTTTTGCCAGCACAATTTGTTGAAGATGCTCTCTTTTTTCCATTGTATGCTTTTAGCGGTGGTGGGGAAGAGACAGAAATCTTTAATAAATAAATAAATTAAAGATAAATAAATAAATAAGACAAAGAAAAAAAAAGAGGACCCAAGATGCAACTTTAAAAAAAATCTTTCTCAATAATGAAACTATGGTTGAATAATTATATTTGCAGTAAGATGGTAATTGTTATATGCACATTGACTAATAAAGACATTTGTCTTAAAAAAAAGATGAGAAAGTAATGTGTGTTGCTTCAATGCAGATTATAGACCCTGAGAAAGATATGATAGAGATAGAACAGAAAACACTATACCCTCCAAGTTCTAACACAATATGAGCACAAAGAAAGCACTTCCTTCTTGTTAATCTGATGGGGACTCTAGACATATGCACACTGGCCAGACTGCCCATGTAATAGAATTTACAGTGTCCAGCAGGGCTCCCATTTGCTTGCTGACAATCCAATCAACCAGAAGATCAAGGGAGTGACTCAGGGCTTTGTGATTCCTTACCTAATTCTAACCAACCAAGACAAATTGCTTATGGAATTAGAGCTGTCAGGAACATAGGAAAAAGTGAACATGTCAGCTTCGTGTTTGTGAACATCAGGAAGACTTAATGCACCCAGACATGCACTCTGCCATGTAGAAAACAGACTTTGCCAAGTGTGGAGTAGAAGGTGTGGTGTTAGGAAACAACCTGGTTTTCAGGCTTGAAGGCATGAAGGGGCACACAATTCTAGGTCAAGTTAGGAAGTCTCACAAGTGATACAGGGAGCAAGAGTAGGTGATGGAATAAACCATTGTAGCTACCCAAGAGTTCCAGTCATGTGGACACACATTTTAAAAAATTCCCACAGGTGGCAGGTTAATATATCTTTTAGATATCTTTTTAGACTTGGGTGCTTGTCATTAATTTATGTTTGCCTTTGAAAAATTTGTCAGAATATTTTTAAGATGTGTATTTAAGATGAATTTTTGTATGTCATATCTAATTAACAGTACAACAATTACATGCCCTTCAGGACCTCTCTTCATGCTTAGAATTACCCATTAGTTAGAGCAATAATAGTGTTTTGCTTATCCATTTAATATTTTCTTGTTAAATTTTTATTTTGTGTGTATGAATGTTTTGCATGCATGTGTGTATGTGCACCACATGTATGCCTGGCACCCTTTGTAACCAGAAGAGAGCACTGGATCCCATGGTACTTGAGTTAAGGTCATTGTGAGCTCCTATGAGGATGCTGGGAACTTTATCTAGATCCTCTGCAAGGGCAGCAGGTACTTTAAAGCACTGAGCCATCACTCCAGTCCCTCACTTAATATTTCATATGCTTACAGTTCTATGTAGTTACATGGCTGTAAAAACATCCTCATGTTCTGCTGTGTTAATGTGCCACCACTTCCTTTATGGTTCTTGTATAGTTAGACAAACATATATTTCTTAGTTTTCACTCTGGGTCCAACATGTTTAGTGGGAAGGCCATTTTCTATGTTCAAGGTTATTCTGTGATAGCAGCTTCTTAGATCAGAAAGATTGGATTGAATCTCTTTAAAGTTAAGTGCAGTCAGTCTTCTGCCTGTGTTCACTAATGCAGAGTCAAGGGTTTGGAGGACACACTTAAGGAACTTGAACATCTGTGGGGTTTGTATCCATGGGGTTCTATCTTGGGTACCAAAGGGTGACTATATTTTCAAATTACTCCAGCAGCCATGGCTTCATCCAGCCTTTGCCCACTGTTATTCGCAACGGCCATGAATAAAATGGCAAGTTTTCTCATACGGTGTTTTCCAACTCCTTTTCCTTTGCACTGATATTAAGTTGATGAGCCCCGGACTCATAGCTTACACCTCTCCCTCTTTCCAGTTGCCCAGCGATGGTCACTGTGACACCACCATTTGAAGGGTTTCAGTTTTCTGAGGGTCACATTTTCTCAAACTATACCAGACCCTTTAAACTAAGCACAGAGCTGAAAAACAGTGGAAATTTAAGGACTTCCTCTCTCTCCAAATATGAAAAGCAAACTATTAGTTTGTGCACTTAACATCATGTACACATTTCAACTTATCCGTGACTTTAGCCTTTGGAATATCAGTTCTATTTTTTACTTGGCTTTTTGGTCATTTTTCTTTCTGTTTTCTGAATATATTCATTAATTAAAGGTAACCTTTTATTTGAAATATAACAAGGTTTAATTTTCCTATGTAATCCTAAATGGAATCCGTCAAATATTTGAACCATAATTTGCTGAACTGTTTAACATTTATGGTTTTCATCCTATAAAATACGCAGTGTTTTTGCAGGAACATTTTCATAATGTAAAAAGAAATGCTCATTCCAAAGAACAAGTTGGGCCAACCCAACCTGCTTCCTTTAAGAGGCAACTCAGAATGATAGGTTAGGCAAATGCAGTAGGCGGAGGAGCTCTATCGCAATGAACTTGACCATTGTCTCGAGCCTCTGCTGTGCAGAAGTTACTAAGGATGAGCCCTTGAGCTATTTAAGAACTCAGAAGGCTTGAGCAGTCAGAGGAACTGGTAACTGGTTAACTGAAAGACTCTGCTGTACAAGCAAATGTCAGTCAGGATAGGAGCTTGTAGTGTCTGCCCCGGAGCTCTACCACGGGCATTCTCCTGCTTACACTGGCTAATAGTTTGGATGAAACATTAGAAAAAAAATGCTTTCTAAAAATTTGTGAGACAAATGGGATAGATTATTAGAATCATATCAAAGAAGATAGAACCCACAGTGGTAAATATGATTCTATACCTTGGCTCTGTTACTAGAAGCTCACTATTAGTAATTAAAATAGCTATAGTCTAGATAATGATATACGTGGACACGGCCTAAGAAAGATTGTGCCCTCCTGTTCTCATCATTGCACACCAAGAGACACAAAAGAGAAGGTGTCCCAGGATGAGTAGCAAAGGTGCTCAGAAGGCTTGAACTCTTACCATTTTATTATTTATTTATTTATTTATTATGGGCTTTTATTGAGGTCTACATTTTTCTCTGCTACCCTCCTTGCCTCTCCCCTCCCCTTCAACCATCTCCCACTTGCTGACAAAGAACATTTTGATCTGACAACTGTCTTTCAGTGTCCCATCCTTTTTCCTCCGTAAGCAAAGATAAACACTCTGCGCAGCCAGGAGCTAGAGTTGGGAAAGCAGAACTTAATTACTGGGAGTTGTACGTAATCTAGTGAAAGAAACCAGTGATAGCACTCAGGGGCACACATAGACGGAACAGTCTGGGGCAGCAACATTGCCATTTCTTCTCTGCTCCTGGGTGTAAGATGTGGAAGATTCCATATCCCTTCTGCACTGACACTGGGCGTGGCCTTATGATCAGCTCTGGCCAATGAAGGAGTAAATTGAGAGTGTCACTTCCCACATAAAGCTTTTGATTTCTAGAGTTTGCCTTTTCAGCATTTGTTCCCTTTGGGATAAGATGAATTGAGCAGTCATGTTTATCTCTCAGAGTAAATAAGTGATTTACATGCCACCCCACACCCATCCCTCAGACCCAGCCATATACCTATGTGGGCCTGGTAGTCTGAGTAGCAAATAAGCCTTTGGTGTTTGTGTCCATGGAAGTCAGGGGTTTATTACTGCAATGCAATCTTTCTAACCCGATGGACCCAAATACCTTCAAGACAGTGTGGGTCCTATAAAAAGCTCTGGGATCTTGACAGATATTGCTTTGGCACCTCACACCTTTGCAGTTCCTCTTTTTTCTTTCTTTGCTGCATTACCTTCGCGCTATAATTTAGTCCAATGGGATTTCTACTGGTTCCAGGACATCCTGGCAAATGAGTTCTGATAAAGAAGGGCCAAGATGATTGTCCTTATGAGCACATTTTGCTGAAACTCCACAGTATGCTGGCAATGTCACCGATTTATGGGACCTTTCCTCTTGGGAAACAGCTAATGGTTCACCCAGTAAAGATTTTATATACAGACTAATAGGCACACAGATAGACAGACAGGCACATGCACACACACATATGGAAAGGGGGACAAAGACCCAACAGAGAGAGAGAGAGAGAGAGAGAGAGAGAGAGAGAGAGAGAGAGAGAGAATTTTAGTTATAAAGACTATGAAAAGCATGAAAAATCTCAGCAGGATCAAATCATCTTTCTGTAACGTAAAGTTTTTTGATTCATAACACATCTTACACAGCCTTGACTTTTATCAAGTGTTCATTCAGTCTGTCCAGGTAGACATATTGCTGCTCATAACAAAGTTTCCCAAGGAAGACTGGTTCCTTATGCTGAGAAAAAAAGCACCCTGTACACTATCATATAACCACTGAACACTGCTAAATTTTTCAGGTGTTGGAATACTTATGAAGTAGTTCTGTCTGGTAAAAAGGTTGATAAGGTAGTAGGTGTCATGAAACAAACAAAACAGCATATGTTCTAAGCCTGAGAGGAATCAAGGCTGAGATTAAAAGGGGAGAAATGGAAAGGACAAATTTTAAATTATAATTAAATACATGTACATACATATGTATATGTACAAATCCCAAGTGTTTTTATAGAATAATCCTTATATAATCAACAATTAATTAACTACTGTCTCATTCTTTTTGTTGTTCCCAGGAGACAAAAATCAACTGTGTGCGTCTGGCTACAAAAGGTATGTTGAGCTGCCCTTGTCTGACTATAGCTGTTCTTCAGCAATACAAGCATTGCTCCTTTTGTTCCCACAAGGAAGTTTAAGCAACAGTCTCTAAAACTAAAGGGAAAGAATTATTTGGGGGGGGTCATTTTCACCAACACCATGTATCTCCAAAAAGTACGTTCATATCATAGAGCTTAAAGCATATTAAGAGCTCCAAACATATTTATTGGATGGATGGATAGATTTTACAATGAATGTAAAATATTTTAAAATTGTATTCTGTATATGTACATGTATACATCCATTGTATTTGTGTCTACATTTGTGGGCTATTTTTCTTTAAGCTTGTCTATGAGACCTGTAGTTGAGGCTTTGTACTTTATTCAGTTGGTGCACGGCTTTCAAGTATGAGGTGATTAGTATTGGTGCCTTTAAAATGAGGAAGCAGACACCGCATTGTTGTGTCCTTCACATTTCTTCACTTATCCCCCAAAACACGGAGGCACCATTGTTCAGGCTCATCACTTTTGTTTTCCTAATTATAATTGAATTGCCTGGCTCTTTCAATTGGTACATGTTTCTCTTTATTACTTTTTTAAAAAAAAAAACAAAATCAATGAATGGTTTGTTATCATTTAACCTATTACAAGGTTGAATGGTTAGAAATCAGGTTTATCTTTTTTCTTACAGAATTGATATTTTCAACAAGAACTTCCCCCACCAATGTTCATGAAACAAAATTGGGCTCTGTGCTCTGCGTTTATTCACGACATACACAATTTCACATTTTACTTCCAAGGATAGAAAATTTATAAATATATTTCTACGTGTGATCATAGATATAATAGACACAGGTAATGACTCAAGTTTATATGTGCGTATATTTGAATATGTGCACATGTGTATGAACAGAGGAGTCACATACATGCAGGTAGAAGAGGAGAGACGGTGAGTGAGAAAGCAGACATAGAGACATAGAGAAAGAAGAAATGGGTGGGGTAGATATCTAGCTATCAAAGCATGCTCCAAGGTCTCTTAAAAGTTTTCTAAATTCTAAGAATTCAGCTGCATATGTAGGCAGCAAATGGATGATACAGGAAGAAGATGGAACATTGTGACTCTTGGTGATAAGAAGTCACTGAGCTGGCATGTCCCTAACTTGTTCCCTCTGAGGAACTCAAATGACTCTGTGGAAAGAGATAAAACAGTCTTCTTGAGGCAGGGAGAATTGATGGCCTGCAGACAAAAGTGACACAAAACACAGGCCTTGGCAGGCTTTGCCAGTGAAGAAAACAGATACTGTAGAAGGAAGAACATCATCAACTGGGTAGCACTGGGCTCTAGGCTAAAATCAGGAAGCTGGGTGTCTACATAATCCCACTTAAATAGGTAGTCCAAGAGGAGAGAGAAAACTTTTCAATGGTAATGCCCCATGGCTTCCCAGTGTTTTCTCACTCTACACAAGGAAGAGGCCAAGATGATTCCTCTCCCTGCTGTGGGTTCTAGGGAACACTGAGATCTTGATTCCTTCAAAGACTTCTTTACTAGGTCTGTTTTACCTGAGAATCAGGAGGATGTGACTTGAGAGGCAATGGGTACATAGAAGGACAATGGGACAATATATAAGACTGTACTTTCCCACAGGTCTTGGGGCCATAGTCCTGTGATGTATAGTGGCTACTCCACTGGCTTCTCCGAAGACACGTTACTCGGCAGATGGAGAATGGCAATGATATTAGAAGAACTAGAACAGACAGCCTGTCTGTCTCTCCATGGCATAGCTGTGTCTCCTCTATAGGGACCTTAGGCTAGCTTTCTTTAGCAGCACACTCAAATATCTTGAGTGTGTGAAATTGTAAGGATGCATGAATGAGTGTAGGAATCCCTAGCTGATTAAGCCCAGACAATGCTTTTAGGGGTATTTCCAGCATCTTCATCCTGTTTCTGTAGTACATTGAGATTCAACAGTTTCTTCCCAGAGATGCCATTAGCACTTGGGAGGACGGTAGAGAACTACCTAACACAGAATCCTGCCATTGCCCAGGAAGCCATCCCTCATCAATACAGCCTCAGAGGAAAAGGATTCTTGAGAAATACAACAGTAGGGTTGAGGGAAGGAGATTCATGCTGGGTCTATTACTTGTCAGTTACAACAATCAAAAGCAAATGCTGCCTGAATCCACATATTACCCATAAGGCACTGAAATGAGAAAGATACATGACTCCTCTCATTCCTTTTCTACTATGTATGTGAAATTTCTTTTTGGTGGAATTTTGCTGTAAATATTTTTTTCAGTGTGTGTGGGGGGGGGGACTTGATCCTGGGCATTTCCCAGGAATCTGGCAATTATAAAGTCCTAGAAAGATATCATCACTATCTCTTTAAGTATCACAACCCTTCAGCCATTTTGGTAACCTTTCTTGGGGTTCTGCTGACAGGCTTTGTGTATCTGGAGGAAAATTACATGCCAGACACAGGCCAGCACTCTGGTGATAAAGTAACTTGCTGCTGTCTTGTTCATGACCTTGGGTTCTCTAGCTGTTGTCCATGGGCATCTATATGAATCCCATAGAGCCAGACAATTATCATGTATTTCAGCCCTAACTACTCATTTGGGGTCAATCTGAATTGACCCTAAAACCATTACCTGCTACATTATATACTCAGTAATTCTAATTTGTGTCTCCCCATGATCTCTAGAAGCAGAGCCCAAGGCAAGAATTTAGAGGCATGTTCTAGCGCCCTATTCAGGGAGGGCTCTCAAAAGAAATCTGTAATTGGTAAAAAAGAACGGAATGGGATGAGCAAGAATCTTTTCCAGGCGGGTCAAACTAAGATAGAACTACAGTGAATACAGATGTCTCTGAAGTTGTCTTAGCTCATAGGAAGAAGACACCCTAGCCTTTAACAGACTTTGGCTCCTTCTTTCACCATGGTCTCTCAGGTAGTTATAGAGTAAGTAACAAAGGTGAACCTTAGACTAGACTTGGGAGAAAGTTCTGGTTGTAAGCTCTTAGTCACATCCTGATACTACACCAGCCTGAAATGAGGAACTGGGTGCCAAATCAAAAGTCTCTTTCTACTGCCTCTAAATTCAACAAGACTCCTGGATACATTATACCATGACGTTGAGGGGAAGCACAATGCTACTAGAGTTGTTTCAAGCATGAGAGATTCTAGAACATTCCAAATTCCTTTGCAGAGCACAGTCCAGTCCTGGTAATAGACCTCCTCAGCGCCTCAGAGAGAAGAACAGCAAGAGCATATAAATAAACATTGCTCTTGTTTGGAAACAAAACTTTGAAAGGAAGGCCATAGAAAACCAAAGTGCAAAGATGATCAATTTAAATTTGGGTTCTTGCGATTTTTAAAAAACATGAGAAGTAAGGGAGACACTGCAGAATTGTTAGACAGAGCTCATCTTTGGAAGTTTGGGGATGGGGTCAACTTGAGCAGCACATGGGAAATGAAAGCCTCACATGCTCAAAAGCAGTGTTGCAGAGGAGCTTTTAGTGCAGAAGAAGGGGTGGAAAGAATGTCAGAGCTCAAGGATGGGGAGAAGGGCTGTGACATGCAATCTGGGCAAGAGACAGTCGTTACAATCAGGAAACCACAGCAAATGCTTGTGTTTTCACTGGGTCTGCACAGGAATGGACCCATCAAGAATCAGGCATGGATGGAGGAGGATGGTGGGTAGCTAACTCTCACTGCAGGACTGTTGCTACTGATAAGTTAAGGGGAAGGAGGGATATTGCCTTTAATTGTGTAGCCCCTTGTGACCCACCAGACTCCAATGAACAGTTCCAATGCCATGAACACACACGTGGCCCTGATAAAACTGAATGGGTCATAAAATCAACCCAAATGGCTTGAAGCCTGGAAGGGAACTCATAGGAGAAGGGGGTTGAGATGGGAGGGAGATAAGAAAGGATAGGGTAAGTAAGTAATCAGAATGTATTTCTTCACTTGTATGAAATAGTCAATGGACTAGCTTAATTTGAAGTGGACTGGGCTTTCCTAGGAAGCGTGTGGGAACTTTGAATGAGATACTTAGAATTCAGAGGTGCCGAAGTTCAAATAAGAGATAAAATATGGGAGGTGCATCAGCCTCAAAGACAATCCCAGCTGTCACTGCTGAAGGGGATGTCCAAACAGCTGACTGCATGCCCTTTTGGCTGGGGCAGAGGAGGCCAGGTGGAAAACAGTCTGCTCATGCTACTCAGTTGCAGAACTATACCAGACGGTTCCACTGTCCACATCCAATGGGCCTCTGTGTACCCTTTGGAGCTTTGCTACTTTGAATCAGCATGCTGGTCCCTACCAGTCTTTCCTGCATTATGTGACCCCTATTTGTTCTTTATCCTCATCCAGGCTTCTCCCCTCTTATCTACTACACTTCAGAATATAGTCTTTGTTCAATTATTTTTTTTAGAATTACATTTGATTGATTGATTGATTGATTGATTGACTTTTGTGGTTTGTAGTGTGGGGCTAATATGTATCACAGAACCCATATGGTGATCAGAGGACTACTTGAAGAAGCTCTCCATCTAACATGTGGATTTTGGTAATAAAACTCAAGTTGTTTAGCCTAATAACAAATAGTCAAACGACAAAGCAAACTGCTTTATCCACCGAGTCTTCCTAGTTTTTCTAAGCACTATTTATTTCTTTATGGGGGAAGTACACATGTGCATGATACATGTGTGAGAGTCAGAGAACAGCTTAGAGGGCCACATCTCAAATCTTTTTCACCTTTTGTTTGAGACACGGCCTCTCATTGGCCTGGGAGCTTTTCATATAGGCCAGGCTAGCTTCCCCACAGTTATCTAATGGTCTACCTATGTGCATCTTCCACATGAGCATCACTGGGATGACATGTGCACATCACTGGACATAGCTTTTTATAATAGATTATAGCAATCTGATCTCAGGACTTCCTGCTTGCAGGGCACAGACATTACCAATTGAGCTGTCTCTGAAGCTTCTCGTTTAACTCTTGAACTTACTTGAA